TCGAAAAATTATTTAATTCTTTTAACTAGAGATGGAGCAATATGTTTAGGTATACTCTACCATCACTTCGACGCCATGTTGGAAAGTGAAATGACATTATTATAACTCAAACTGATTCCAATATATTTATTTAATGCATCAGTAAAACTCAAATTTTATTTAATTAAGACAAATATTCAATTCTATGATCATAAATACGGAAATATAGTGGTAGCGCTCTTTGTGGAATGTGGTGTTTCGCATTTCAAACATGGCGTCGAAGTGACGGTATAATGTATCTGTGTGTAATAAAATACGTATAGGCCTATATATAAAGGAATAAGCATTAAAAATTTTTTTAAAAATCGCAGTAATTTCCTGGATGGTGTTATTGCTGTTAAAAAGCTTCGGAAAAATCCGTCGAGAAGGGGAAAGCTGAAATTTTTTTGCAGGTTAAGAACAAATTTATGGTTTAAGTTTATTTGGTTACCACATAAACCTTCCTCCCGGTAGGACTTTCTATGGGAAAGTGGCCCCTATTTAGGTGTTACAAACGTCAAGAAAACCGGAAAACTCCAACTTTTTCTTCAAATACACCCTCGCGAGCAGCGGCGGCCTTAACCATTGCGAGGCTCCGGGCGACAGATCTTTGTGAGGCCTTTCTCCTTTGTGCAAAGTATATGAATTGAAAGTAAGTATTTCTGATGATTGACAAGAAATGCAAAAGTTATAAATGAATAAATTTAGAGTTTTAAAGTATTATATTAGAAGATTTATAAAAGTTAACAAACATAAAGACGACAAATTATTATTTTTTTTACTCTTTCCACTCTGTGGGCATTAAAAGGGAAAACCCTAATGGTCCTGCTATAAGAGTATAGCAGGCCCATTAGAGTTCGGCAAGGCACACAATCGGGCGACAGGGTGGTGAGGGTCTGGACCCGACATATCCGAACGGACCACCCCCCGAAGATTTCCTAAGGATTCCTTAACCCAGCCGGATTCGATCCTGGGTCCTCCAGAGCGGTAGGCTACCATCTTGACCGCTCAGCCATCCGGTCTACGATGACAAATTATCAATGATGATAAACTAAGGTACATAAATGCCTTAAAAGATATACACGAAATTTAAAAATTAACCATTTTAACATACAATCTTTGCGCAGTCAGCTAGATTCGTGAGACTTTAGGTAATCACCCAAGTGTTTCCAATCACACACTCCTTCATTGGATCCAATTCTTGTGTTTTCTAGTCCGAACGTTCGACACGGAAAGCAGTAAACGGCATCCTTTGTGAATAAATCATCCAGCACTTGTCAAGTTTTTCACCATTAGCTAATATTTTACT